GAGTGTCAAATCCTGAACAGATCATCTGCCACCATTTCCCTTTTTTTTCATCTGGTTTGAGTGATTGAAAACAGGATGAGAGAAAGCTCTTGTTCTGCACTTAGATCCACAGTAAGCACATGCTGAAGGCATTTTCCCAGCCTCTCCTCTCTGCTTCCCATGTTGTGGCCAATCCCCCAGAGACTCAGGTTCTCGCACGTCTCTGAGGAATGGGGACTGGTGAGGAGCTTATCCACACAACCCTTTAGAGAGAGTATTTCCAGCTATACTTTGAAGTTACAAGTTTTGTGTCCTGTTAAAGAACCATACCAGTATTTCTGCAGTTTGTCTCATTTACTACAAATGATGTAGAGTTTATACCAGCAGCTAAAACAGACATTGGTTGCCATATTGTCTATATAGAAATCAAGTCACAGATACCTGCTTGATGCATCCCAGTGGGGTCTGCTTTTATTGTACTGAATCAAAGTTACATAGTTTCATGTATGGATTGATCTGAAATGTCTCATGTACAGGGCCGTTTCCAGACTCTTTTGACTGGGGTGGCACAAGTGGGACACTGACAGTCATTCCCAATTCATGCAATTCCATCACTGTTTAAGGACTCCATTATTATACATTATTTAACATTAGTATCGTCACTCTAGCTTTAAAACAGAGGATGCTACAGCCGTCTAAAAACAGTGTGGAGTAGAAGAGGAAAGGATAAAGGCGTGGAACTTGGGGTGGCCAATCAGATTTTAGGGGTGGCCAGTGCCCCCCCTCTGAAAACACCCCTGCTCACAAATATTAATCTATATGGCAATCTCCTGCCCTGACCCCCACACTCCTCAAAATAGACTAATTTGTGATGTCATTGTAAAGGATTATCTTTATTATGCAACCCTCCAAGTCTCTACAAGTTGATCATTATACTATGCAGAAATGAGTGGAAACCAGTCGAAAACACATTCATAAATCAGAAACAGTACACATGTCTTGGGAATAGTTTGAAGAAATTACACACGTGCAAAAGTATGCCTGTAGTAAATGTGCTAAAACGTGCAAAAGCACTGTTATCATCCTTTAATGCTGTAAACAGTGAGGTAACTCTGTACACTTGAGACCTGAGAAGAGAGGTTTCCGGGGTACAGTAGATCCAAAGACACAGCATGATGGTGGTGATGACAAATGCACTAAAACTAGAAGCCTTTGTCCTTCCTATGTGGCACGATGTGAGACGTCCACTGACTTGCGTGCCATTTGTTGCTCCCTGGGTAACCAGTTTACGTGAGGCATTGGTGGCAGCAGTTTTCTTAAGATGGTGAAGCAGGTGTGCTGTGCGAACACGGGAAGAAACTGTTTTCAATAATGATAAAACACAATTGGGCAAATCTCTGGTACTGGTCAGGAAACTTGTTTATGCTTAAACTGACAGTGAGTTTCCGATATTGAGGCATTTTAAATAAGATGTCTGCTAAACTGAAAGAAACATTTTAACAAGGCAGTAACCTCCTGACAGCTAGAGGACTTTGGCATTATGAAGCAGAGTACTACCACAGTACTGTAAACCTGCTGTAGAGCTACAGTTTTCACCTTGAACTTTTACTGGAAGTCAGATTTTTACTTGGCTTCCTGTATTCTCTGAGCCTGTTGATTTATGCAGCAGAGACAAGAGAATGCAGTACTGGCCTCTATCTTCTATCTGTAGGATCATCCAAATGATTTGGATCTGACACATTTGTAGCTCAGCTTAACTTTTATTTCAGTTTCCTCCCATATTTTCCATGATGACTAAGCTAGAAGCCTTTCAGAGCTAGACACTGTTTCCGGCTTTTGTATTAACGGTGTGCTCTGTGTCAAATCTGACGTCAAACTGAAAGATGAAGATAAATAGTCCTGACCTTGGTGCATATGAGCAGCAGTTTGCAGCCCTATATACAATTAAGTGTTTTTAGCCAATATTTTGCAACAATGATTTTTCTTCTGGTATTGCCCTTTTCTAGCTTTCATTTCAGAGCTGGCAAGGTTTATTTTTTCCTTCAATTATTATGGACTCTGTTTTGGTTCCTGTTCGTGGGGCCATGGTGCCATCTCGGCACTGTGCCACAGAGGCCAACACAGGTGTGAGATTTCCATCTGGTCTAACTTTTTATTTTTTCCAGTCATGTCTTTTTCATTTAGGTCAAACAGAGTCAGGGTGCTGCTATTGTGCATGCTTAATTTGGGTCATTGGTAACACATGGGTTTACCCTACTATTTCATGTCAAAATGGCTGCTGTGAAAAAGGTCTACACTTATAAAATAGAATCAATTCTTAGTTGCTTTTGGCCTATTGGATTTGTCAACATCAAGAAAAAAAAGAATATCACCAGTCTTAGGCTTTCAATGTAAAGTCTGCTTTAGGTCATTTTTGCCCACTAGGGGGCAGACAAACTCCAAAACAAACCCAGAAAAACCCAGCTCTCATATGGACTCATATGGAGTATATCTATCTATAATAGTGTCTGTATGTGACATTGCAATAGTCGTCCTGTCCTTTCAGTCATGTGGGTCTCATGCTTGATGAGATGTGAGCTTAACCAGCGGACACACCCTTGGCATGGATGTCCTTGGTCTGTGGCCTAACAGCTATGTTATTGCTGTGCACATTTAACACAAACACTGAAGTTGTGGTGTAGTTCAAGACTGACCCACAAAAACAGATGCTTGGACACAGCAAAGGGGCTACAGAGAGGGTGAGAGAGAGTTGTTTAGTATAGGGGGATGTTAATGTGTGCCCCTGAAGATGATGGAAGTCATCAATTTGAGATGTGAAAATAGCTCTTCAGTCAAGAGACTGTTATGGAAGAAGGCTGGGGTAGCGTCATCCCTGACATCATCACAACTGTGTCTATTTCTGTGCTCCTTTGTTTCTTCAGCATTTGTTTCTTCAGATTACAATCACCCCTCTTTCTCTCTGGTTCTCCATATTTGGACTTGGTTTATCTTGTCTTTCTCAACTCTTCTCTAAGATGTTATCCTTTCTCTCCCTCCTTTCCTCCCCATCAAAAACTCCATCCACCAGAAATCTGTCATTAATCTTCACTGATCCAGACTGGAACTGATTTCTGCCAAGACTCCTAACAAGTGCCAAGTATGCTGCAACGGAAGGTAGCCACATCTTTTCCAAAAAAAGGCTCGGTATTAGAGCTCATAATTGGGCTTCTAGTTTCTTTTAGTACCATATGTTCTAATCAGATTCAATTTGGATATTTCTTTTGGCGCTGACATTAGCAGCAGATAATTACCAAGTCTGCAAACTACCTCCCGTCTTTCTCCATATTCTCCAGATGCAAAAGTAGGATTCTGGAAGGACCTGAGTTGATTAGAAGGAGTTAATTTCATGGCATGTAAAACCAGGAGGGGGGTTCGTTGTAAACACTGTCTACAGCCTGAGCTCATGTCTGAGACCATGCCTGAAAGACATACATAGAATGGGAGGGATCGAGTCGAAGCAAAAGGAGGGGTCGGGGTCGACTGGAAGGGGGCCCTAAGAGAAACAGGAGTGGGGGAGAGGGTTGGAGATGGAGGAGGGATGGATGGGTGGTTGGTCGGGTATAGGAAGGGAGGAAAGGAAGGACACCTGGAAGGCTTGTCTGGGGCAAAATGCCTGCAACAACAAGACTGCCTCGCCACTGGTTTCTGTCTGAAGAGAGAACAGAAAGACGAAGAAAACAAATGAGAAGAAAGTGGGAATGCAGAGAGTAAATACAAAGGGGGGGGGGGGGCTTTTGGAGGCGCATCAAGAATTTGCCTTTTAAGGGGTACAGTCTTCCACTTCCAAGCCTTGTGAGCTCTTGCGTAGCCGCCAAAACACTCAAGGGAGAAAAAATAAACAACAGCAAAGAGGCTGTGAGGAAAAGAAACACGAGCAATGCTAATATCTTTCACACTATTTAATAGCAATATTAAAATTGCACAGGGCCTCTTTGTGCTACAAATTTCCTTTATTACCTTGGCAGAGGAGATCAAAACAATGACAAGGATGCATCTGACATTCCTTCATACAACTTCTCACATCCTTTGTTTCATGTTAGGTATGGATTCTGTGGTGAAAGAGACGTTGTTCCGCGATTTCAACAAACAGGCTGTTGCATTGTAAATAAACAAGGGAGGGCTCAGTCCGCTCTGAATCACTGGTTTGCCCAGCATCCTAACAGCTGCCGTCACTGTTTGGTTTTCTTGGTTGTTTTCTAGACAATACCGACCATGTGCTGCCCGAGCTAAGGAGAGACTGCCTGTATCTGGGAGCAGGAAACTGCCGAGGAGGAGAGGTGGGTGGGGGTGAGAACAGAGAGGTAATTGTATATGTAAGAGTGAGGCAACCCCAGTACAGGGGTAGAAGCAGGAGCAAAGGGAGAGAGAAGGAAGGGAGAGGCGCGTTGTTGGGATGGTAGGGCTGAGGAAGAAGAAGAAAAGCAACAAAAGGAGAGAAAAGAGTGAAGAACAAAAGAAGAATTAAAGGAGAGATTCACAGGATGAGGATGAATCCCTGAGCACTGACATTTGAGTCAAGGGTCATATCTGTGAGTCCAGGTAATGGGGATGTAGTGACAGTGATGCAAAGAGAAACAAAGAAAAAGTAAAGTGTGGAAGCTGAGTTTGGGTGTTGTGAAACAAAGAAGAGCAGTGAGGGTGGGGGGGTGTGGGGGGTCCACATGTGACTGTAGCAGGACTGAGCTGGAGAGAGAGGTGTTTTTAAAGTGTGTATAGAAAGAAGGAGGAGGGGGGGGGGCAGTGAGAGCATGCAGAGTGTATCCTTCCCTCTGTCCCTGTAGCGGGGC